ATGCCTTCCTGATTTGCTATTCTGAGTCAAGTAGTCTGAAAGGATAGGACCAGTGGCCCATGACGGACTTTGGATGGTGCCTCTTTGGATGGTAGAAGGAGCAGTGTCTGTGGTAGATATTCACTAACATCTAACATGCAGGCATTTTAAAGGGTATTCAGGATAAAACTGACAGATCCTCTTCTTCCCCAAGAGTACTTTTTCCTTTAGATCACAAAACAGGAAATTAAAGTGCTCAACTAAAATCCCCAATAGGAAACATAAATCTCTAGAACGTTTTAATGACATTAATATCTCCCAAATGCCTAAAAATCTTTCTCTAAAATGAGTTAAGGGAAAATGGCCTTCTCATTCATAAGGCCCAAGCATTCCAAAGTCCCGAGAAATGACCTCCCTGACCCAGAAAATAATAAAGTAAGAACCCAAGTGACCTTTTTTTTTTTTTCTTTTTCTCTTTCCAAGTGTTGCCTTCCTCTGTGGTGAATAAATTAAAAAGAGCCAACCCATCCATGGCAACTATGTGGAGAGGTATGAACCATTTCCAGAAGTGGATTGATATGCTTCTGAGGAGTCACAGTAAAGGATGCTGTCAAACCTCTTTAGTCCCCCCAAAATTGGAATCATGGTCTCATCCCTCAAAGGTCTTAGCGTTTGTTATTTTTCATTCACTGATCTGGGTTTCCCACCACTGTTTCTGAAGAACAAGGGTTCAGCCCCCTCCCCTAAACCGATGCTGTCCAAGAGGTGTGACAGCTTGAAGGCCCTTAAAGAAAAGATACCAAGAGTGACACAGGGTATCTTTCAGTCCAAAGTGGTAATGGGAGCAAGAACCTTCTCTACCTTGCAGGTCAGCTTTGGTCAATGCAACTTTGTTAGCAAAAGAACAGAAAAGGCGAAAACAATAACCAGAGGTTAGTAAGAGGTAGAGTCAACCAGGGTAACGTTACAGAAATGAAAATAACAATTGGCATAACCAACATCATTCAAACAGACAGTTAAAATGCTCTACGGGTTCTCCAGAGACAGCACAGATGGGGGATGCAGGGACCCAGGTGGAGCAGGTCTCCTCAGAGCCACGTCAGCAGAGCGGGGGCAGGAAAGCACTGGACTGACAAAGCACAAGCAGGGATAACAAGAGCCTTCCCACAACCACACAGCCAACCCCAAGGCATATGGTCCAGGAAAATGATTCTCCACGAGTCAGGATAAGCATCAAGAAATAAGGGTAGCACGTGGCCAGACTGAAAGACACGTGTGCTCAACCAGACCAAGCCCACAAAAATATAATTCTGCACATCTAGGAGTTAAAGATGGAAGAGTCGCTTGGGAGCACTCCTTGTAATCTCCTGAAAATGCCACCAGGGAATGTGGCGCTCGAACTGGGCCTGTGTATCATGGTGATTTGGGAACTCCAAAGAGCTCAATTTGTTTGATGGGTAAGAATACAGCCAAATCCAAATGGCTGCAAGCAGAAAGGAACCAAACCGATGTCCTTTTTATTTATTCATGCCAGTCTCAAAATGAAGCACGTGTGTTTCTCTCAGATGTTTACAATCTGCAATTGTGGAATCACATTTCCAGCCAACCCATGCCTTGGTCTCTGCAGCCAAGCTGGCCTCAAGACAGAAAGAGATATTTACCAGCTGAGAATAGAACCAGACATCATTTCAGAATTCCTAGCCCAAACTGAGAGGCTGTAAGTCACGGCTAGATGTTGGCTAGATTGTCCAGAAATTGTGCTTAATTTCTGAAGTATTATACTCTGCATAAAAATTAAAACATGGTTCGAGATTTTTTTTTTCTTTCTTAGTATAAAACCATTGGGAGCCGGAGCCGTAGGTTAATTCGTTTTTAAAATAATTTTGGACGCTTCACAGTTAGATAAGAGAGGGAAAGTAGTACATTTACTACTTAGAGATCCTGAAATATCATCATCAATGACTTTGACAAGAACATAGGATACATCCTGGCCTGTGTACCCCAGACAGTGAGAATAGAACACATTTACCATGTCGAAGGGATGCAGCTCTTAGTTTTTAGTAACGAATCCTCATCCCCTGTACATTATTCTATACATAGAAATGATAAATCAGGAAATGTATTCTATTTCCTGGGATTTCTATCCTGCATAATACTCAAAGGCCTTCTTGAGGGTTCCATACTATGTACAGAGATTCAGAATGAGAAGGACACCTGTTTGCAGTCTCTCTAAGGTTCTGTGCTCCTCATTTCCCTCCTCGCCATCTACTTTGGCTTCATTTCCACAGCGCCCTAAAAGGCTCCTGGGATCTCTCATAAGGGCTTATTCACATGGTGTAAACTTCCAATGACAGTAATTTATGCCTTAACCCACTTTCTGGCCATTTTTCCTGGCCACTTAGGCTAATTATCCAAGTCATCTGTGTACAATAAACAAGGACCTTCTTCCCTCCTCACTCATCCTCCATTCATCCCACCCAGTGGGGCGGTCATAATGCTCCATGGGTAATCATCACAATTATCTCCATGGCAATAGAGTGCAGGGTTATTAGGCTCATGGGACTCGCCATAGATTCGGATGGTAGAAGCATCAAGTCACAATATCCGGTGCTGAACAATCACCCATACTCAGAGGAAGGTCGGACCCCACTATAATGCAGGTGATGAGTCATGCCAAGCTGCACACAGAGATGGAAGTAGGGATGGGACCATTTTCCCCAATTTGATGGGTAATTTCCTTGTGCTAATGCTCTCACTGCTTCTCTTCAAGTTCTCTTAAGTGGACTCCATTCCCCCACCCACTTTTATACTCTACCTTTTAATCCACTCTTCTAAAAGTTGGTTTAGACTTCCTTTCAATCCAATACAACAGTGCTATCTCCTTACACCCCAACTTTTAATCCTCTGCTGAACTCTGCTTCTGATACGGTAGGCCACAGACACGGATAGCTACTGAGCACTGGAAAGGTATGTAGTCTGGATTGAGATGTGCTGTAAGTACAAAATACACACTCGGTTCTGAAGGCTTAATGTGAGAGAAGAATGTGCAATGTTTTAATAATAATTTTGTATCATTGCATGCTGAAATGATAATATTTTGGATATACTGGGTTAAGTGAAATGTAAAATTAAAATTAATTTTACCTGTTACTTTATATCTTTTTTACATGTAGCTAGTATACTAGGAAATTTAAAATTACTTATGTGACTCACATTATATTTCTATCAAGCAACATTGCTATAGAATTAAATGGATGATTCCTATTAACCTGTAAATCTGAAGAACGGATGACATGATAAGAATATTTAACATCTGAAGAGTACTTTATGCTTTTTAATGTGTGCTTTTATGTTTTATGTTTTAACTCAATCTGATTAATTATTGAAGGATAACTGGAATTTCTGTCATTCCACAATCTTTGAAACAGAGATATTTGATTTAATTCCCAAATGTTACGTTTATCTCAGCATTGCCCTTAAAGCCTGAAAGAAGTAAGAGCAAGCCAAGGAGACAAAAATTCTTGATTTGAATGACATAGTGCATTTTCAGGAGAAGAAAGCAAAGTGGCTACTTTAAGTGCATGGTGATTCCCAACTCCCTGTCCTCCCACGTACACAGACCCGATTTGGCCCACCGGATATAAGAAATATTCCTGTCTAAAGGCAAACCAGAGTGGGTCATGGGAACAACCAGTCTTATTACTAGTCCACGTGGGAAGCTGACCCTTAGGCAAAGGGTAATGACTTCCATACTGCACATCAGCTTGTGAAGCTGACGGGAAGCCTTTATAAAAATGTGGCAAGCGAACTCAGGTGAAAGCTGGTTAAGGAGAGATATGTGAAGCTAAATACTTAGGAGATGAGTGAACGCGTTTGATGCGGTAAATCAATGAGATAGAAAAAACACAACACGTATATCACACACAGGGCCGTGAGGCTCAACCGGACAAAAGAATACATAGGTCCTGCTGACTGGTCAGACATCTTTGACTTTGAAGCTAGGTAAGCGTCACCTTTTTGGCCTACCCAAGGCCCCTGGGAAAGCCTGAAAACTGTTCACTGCTAACCTCTGCTGGTTAAACTAGATTGTTTTTGTTGTAAAGAACTGGACTCAAGAAGACCTATAAAATTCACTTAATATCTTAAGAGACAATAGATCACCTACAGGAACAGGCTGAGCGTGGTTTGTTGTGTTGCACTGATGGGGCATGCAATGTTATTAGATGTCTCACACGAGATCACATTTGTAAAGGATAATCTTACTGTTTATTGAGTACCTACTATGTCTGCACCAGGCATTTTACATACAGCTCTGATTTACATCGCTCACCTTCCAAGGCAAATTTTATTGCCCCACTTTGCAGGTAAGGAGGATAGAGCTCAGAGAGGTTAAGTAACTTGCCAAATGTCACAGAGCGAACAAGAGTTACTACCTGGATCTAAATCCAAGTCTTTCTACCATCAACTCCCATGCTGTCCCAGACCTCATCAACATCACACTAACGAACTGCCTAAGAAGGCCTGACATCTAGTAAGTACTCAATAAATGTCAGTTCCCTTCCCTCATCATGGCATTCTGACATCATTTTCCTACCTCCTGCTGAGTTTGCACTAAACAATGCATTAGTTATTAGAAACATTTCATTAATGGTGACAGCTACATAAAAGTCTCTGGTATACCTCCCAACATATAAAAATATAAATAAAACCCCTTACTGCCCTTTCAGCCATGCTGGAAACAAAGGTACAAGTCAGGAAGAGTCTGATGTCAATGCCAGGGAAGGTCCTCTACTGGCAAGTAGTAGCACAGGGAAGACACCTGCCAACATACATTCCCAGAGCCTGTGGCCCATGTCTTGACATACTGAGCCAGGGACAGGAGGACCCCAAAGATGACGCAATGTCGGATGGCAAATGGGAAGGAGAGAGGACTGGTGAACAGTAAGGTGACGCTAGCAGAGGCAGCAAAGAGGCTTGGTGGTTGCGTCCAGGCTGTGGCTTAAAAAGGAAAAAGGCTGTACCTTCACAGCCACGCTCGATCTGTCCACTCCGATGGAGGGCATCGTTGATGAGGTCTGGCAGGCGCCCGTTCAAATCCACTGATGCCAGACAGCCCTGAAAGCCATCCCGGGAAGCCACCAGCTTTGGAAGGTTGCTGTACATGCCTTGGGCCAGACCCGCCATGTAGAGGTCACCTGCAAAGGAAAGTGAGGAGCAAGAGCAGATGAGTAAAGGGTAGGGAAAGCAGACTCAGCTAGAGCCGATGCACATTAGACGATTTCGTAGGTAATGGTGCTGGAGCTGGCGTGGGGGGAGGGGGACTGGAGATGGCATAAGCAACTAATTACAGAGTCTCCACAGTGTAGAAAGAAGAAACTAACATTGCTTATGTCACTCATTTTCTCCATGCCAGCTCACAAATTTTAATCACCATATTCAGTCCATGAGGTAGGTACTGTTCCCATTTTATGATGAAGTAAAGATTAACAAGATTTCCCACAAAACCACCACTTACCGAATGCTTGTTATGGGCTTGTGACCAATAATAGGAGGAGGATTTTATAGACATTATCCCATCAAAACTCATAACAGCCCATAAAGGTAGTAACAATTATTATCCTCATTTTGCAAAAAAAGTATAGAGAAGCTGAACAAGGCTAAGAAATTGTACCAATTGTCCTCTGTATTAGGACACCTCCGCATTTTGACATTTATCACCTCACACTCAGCCCCCGCATGCCTGAGGTTTACAGAGAAAATGAATCATCCCTTGAGGAGCGGTTTAAGTAAAACTGCATTTTAGTATCATTTAATGGTGTTAAAATAGGATATGCATGATGTCTCAAAAATGCCTGGCACTCCTAACCTGTAGTTTGCCTCTGCAAACAGCGCTTCGGTTATAAGAAATGCTCTAAAGGTGCCTGAGAGGCTCAGTCGGTTAAATGTCCGACCCTTGGTTTCGGCTCAGTTCGTGATCTCAGGGTCATGACCTCAGGGTCATGAGATCGAGCTTGGTGTCGGACTCCACGCTCTGCAGGGAGTCTGCTTGAGGTTCTCTCCCTCTGTTCTTCCCTGCACTTGAGCAACTCTCGCTCTCTCTCTCTCAAATAAATAAATCTTAAAAAAACAAAACAAAACAAGAAATGCTCTAAAAAGGATAAACTTCTTTATAAGGTTTACCTTTCAAATCCAGATTTTTGGCCCCATTGATAACTTGAGTGACCACTTTCGTGTCCACTTTCAAGCTATGGGTGTTACTGTTGTCCCGGGTGATGACGACATTGTGCCACTGGTTGTCATTCAGGGGGCGGTCACTGTTGCCTTTGATCACATTGGGACCATTCCCAAGGTCAAACACGTAGTGTATGTACCTGTGAGCAACAACAACCACCTCATGAGTGGAGATTCCCTCGAGTGGTTGAATGGCAACGTGCATAGAAGTGACCCTGAGGGCTTCGCATCCCCTGTGCTAACCTGGCCTCATGCAGGAATAATTAAGGCTTGACATGGGGTTCTAAGAAGAGTCACAGCCTGTTCTGTCAGACTTCACTTTAATTCCACACTTACAAGGTTCACTTCTTTACCATGATCTAAAAATCCAGAGCCACCAAGTAGAACAGGTGGTACATCCCCAAACACTAGGGGGCAGCATTTAAATTCAGTCGATTGTGGATCTGTGTTTTGGGTTTTGTTCTAGCTTTTGTTTTTGTTTTGACTATTTTCCAACACATGGTAGTAAAATACCTTGCAGAAAGAAGAGCATTTAAAACGGCACATATATGGGCTAATGGCAGTGCTGCAAATATCTATATTTCATTTCTTCCTATAGATTTGGTGGTTGCAGAGAGCACTGTCCCAGAGCATTGTATATAGGATATACACTCTATGCTCCTTTCGCAGAAATGACCTTCTTTCCTATAGGTTTAAAGGACTGTATTTCATAGTAAAAAGTCTGATAGTATTGAGTTAGTGGAAGACCTTTAGATAAACTAATGAACTGCTCTTCCTTCCAGCCCTAACCATTACATAGGTTGTTTTTAATCAACGAGGATGAGAGCAGGTAGTGGGAATAGAGGGTGGGAGCAGAATGGACACTTTGTTTTCATGTCCATATTTTATGTCGGGCTTGAGCTGAGATACCTGGTATAAACGATGTGATCTCTTCCACTTACCCCTTGACCAATTCAACTGCAATGAAGTCATTGCCGTCACCACTGTTGAAGAGAATGAAGCCATCCGCTGAGGTGGTCTTGAACTGGAAGAAGAGGTGCATGGAGGTGTAGGCCTGGAGGGTGGCCAGGCTCAGGTAGCTGCTCTTGGTCTTGAAGGTGACGGGGTCAGCGATAATGTTCCTCAGTCCAAAACGAGCCTTCAGTTCGCAGTAATCGATGTCGCCATTTTTGCACAGGTCAATGTAGAGCAGGCCATTGAACATGAGGCTCTGCAAGTGGCCAATGAAACTGGATGGGACAACGGAGATGTAACGTTTCTCTGTCATGATTCCGGTCTCGATATTGTGGAATTCCAAGCGGGTATGGTCCCCCACCATCGTACCTATCGACGTCACAGAGGAGATTCACGTAAGTTATCACATTTTGTCACAGCACACTTACTATACCTTTTAGGTTTCCACACAAAATATTTAGTTCCAGGAAACAAAATGCCCAATATAGTAGACAGCCGATGGGACCTCAGTCAGAGGACGGATTCCCGGCTGAGGCTGAGTTATATACCCTGTGGCCCATGCTCTCATGCAGCTGCTCAGAATGTCCCATCATATAAAAGAAAATATGAGATCATGGATAACTCAAGTTAAAGGATAAAATGATTCATTTTCTCCATTCAGGAAACAATTGGGTACGAATGCATACTATAAGAAAAAAAGTCTTGATCGCCCCAAACCTTGTAAAGATACAACAGACAAGCATGAAGCATTCACTACCAAATACTTCTTGATGTAATAATTCACCACCCAGTACTTGTCGAAAGATTCTATTGTAGAACATGTGTTAATTTTTTTCTGACCAGCAACTGTTGCTTTTTCTGATAACACCTCTAATTTCCCTTTGGGATGCTACCCTCCATACTTCACCTTAAAACCATCTGGGCTGGATGAAGCTGATCCTAACCCAGCTCTTGAAGTAATCAGCCTACGCAGGCTGGACCACTCAACATTATTTTATCCCCCTAGCCATAGAATATGGTCTATGGACTAACAAGGTGGTCTGCAAACTTTAGCACGCCTCTGAATCACATGGAGGACTTCTTAATACACCGTTCCCTGCACCCCACCCTCAGAGTTTATCATTCAAAAGTCTGGGGTGTGGCCTGAGACCATGCATTTCTAATAAATTCCAAGGTGATGCTTATGTAGCTGGTCTAGGGAACACCCTTAGAACCAAGGGATCAGCAGCAACATAAGCTGGAGTATTTAGTAGTTACTCAGTAATTAAGTCAAGTAATATTCAGCTCCAGAGTTTTTGTTAGAATACCTATGAGAGAGGCATTCTTTGTAAACAAGGCTTGTTGAAGGGGTAAGAAGAAAACTCAGAGTTGCTGGAAACCATGTGATAACCAGAGAGATTGGGCCTGCCCGAGGAGACAGCCAACCCAGAAGCCAACCACAAAATGGAGAGAAACAGTTCTTCTAGGATGGTGCCATTCGAAGGTCTGAATTCAGCAGCCAAAGCCAGACTTCTAAAAACTAGATGGCAACAGATTGCCTTCTGTGCCTCAAGCATTTAAGATGGGGGTCTGACATTTGCAACTAAAGGATCTCCAGCTGCTACAAATGAATCAGTAGACCTTTCATTACCTGGCTTACCTAGAAGTGAATGACTGGGGCAGGGGGTCATGAAGGCGGCTTGAAATAAATACAAAAGAGAATGGAAATTTTAATGACAAAGTCAAGGAAAATGTCATTAGTACGGTCAGAGTAGAAGGTGGCCCACCCAACATTTATATAGGCACATTATTACAATTTAACAAACCGTGTCCTGATGCCCCAACGCTGAAGGAAGGACAGGAAGAATCCCTCCTCCTGCCCTCTCCTGTTGTCTCCGTCCACACTGAAGAAACTCCATTAGCAAGACACCTAGCCTCTCTCTACTCCCTCCGTTACATCTTTCCAGAGGAAAAGGAGTGACATAATCTGGAAGATTAAAGAAACTCTACAGAGAAACTGTATTTCCATAGCTCAGCCCCTGGCACTTCCTGTTTCCCCCTAGGGGAGCAAGCTGCCTTCAAGAAACCCCCAGTGTAACCCACACAACCCACAGTATGGGTGTTACAGGAGCAAGCCTTGCTTCAGTGGAGATGCCCGCCTAAGTCCTGAATTACTGAGCATTCAAGTGCGCAATTCCACCTCTGAAACTCGGTAGATGTTAGCCACATTTTTCCATACCAGTGTTACCACTAAAAACATGATATTTGACTTTTACCAGCCTTGCATTTGTTTTTTCTCTATTGGTGTAGAACTCAGGTAGCAGGAAAAGAAAAAAAAAAAGAGAGAGAGAGAGAGAGAATGAAGGAAGGGATTTCTATTTTCTCAGGGTCCTGAAACTTCAGTACCTGGGAGATTCAACCAGATTTCACTTTCAGATGCTCAGTATTAATGTCATCTCTTTGGGAGCATACTCAGACCTGATGCAGGAAACTGTTTATAAGCACAAAAATCAGATTTATGTTTTATGAGCTTCTATGTGGTGTTTTGACAACTAGTGACAAATCATTCACTTAATATAAGCAAAAACAAAATAATGGTGTTGGTTAAATATAAAATTGTAACAGAACAAAAATAAAAATGTAACATAAATCTGCTAACAATTGAATAACTAGGAGAGCTACTATATAAAATTACTTAGTATTGAAAATTGGCCTGGTCATGAAAACGAAAACTAGCATAACCTAAACTCACATGATCTAGAACAGTGAGGTGACTGAAACAAATATTCACAGTCTATTTGCCTCTAGCTGTTCATACAGGGCTGAGGCTGGAGCTGGAGAATGATGGGGAGGGGAAATCACAGCCAATCTCCTTGGGGACACAGGAACCAAACTGTGATGATGCTGCGAGCCATGCTAATTCTTATTTTAAAAAAGAAGAAGGAGAAGGGGCGCCTGGGTGGCTCAGTTGGTTAAGCGACTGCCTTCAGCTCAGGTCATGATCCTGGAGTCCCAGGATCGAGTCCCGCATCGGGCTCCCTGCTCGGCAGGGAGTCTGCTTCTCCCTCTGACCCTCCCCCCTCTCGTGCTCTCTCTCTCTCATTCTCTCTCTCAAATAAATAAATAAAATCTTTAAAAAAAAAAAAAAAAAGAAGAAGAAGAAGGAGAAGGAGGACGAGGACGAGGAGAAGGAAGAGAAGGAGCGGGGAAGGAGGAGGAGACCAGCAATGAGAATTAAGAAGTGATAAGGGGTGATCCTTGGTGAAGCCTGGGATTCCTAAAGAAACCTGAAGAGACAATTTCAAAGTCAACAGGGAGCTTTTAGAGAAATTATAGATACACAGGCCTACAGAGTTGAGGGGTTAGGAAATTCTGTTCACTGGAAAATGAATTTCATAAAGCAAGAAAATCATGTACAGTGTTGACAAGAGAGAAAAGAGATGGAAGAAGGATAAGAGAAAGGAAATTAACAATGGAATTTGAGAGCTTAGCCCATGGACACGGACTGATTTAAGGATTTAGGATGAGTCGCAGAGCCTCAGCTAGAAGTTGCAGTGGGGGTGGGGGTGGGGGGCAACATGGCGCCAAATTAGAAAAGGGACTACCTCTCTAGATACTAAAGGAACTCACTTGGCTGTGGATGGAGGGTCCCAAAAGAGCATGCACCTGGAGAAAACGTTAAAGAGATCAATTAAGTTTGAACCTTGTGCCAAACTAAGCAAATAAACATAAATAGATGATAAATAGATAGATAGATTGATCTGTGTATCACCTAATCAATATTAGTAACTGGGAATCTTTCCTCGTCTCCCCTGAATGCTGTCTATAGACTAAAACTCCCTTCCGTTCAAGAGGCAAACATATACATACTTCACTGCAGCTGCTTTCAAATTTCAGAGGGAAGAGGAGTAATTTGGGAGAAAGATGATTAAAAAAAAAAAAAAGCAAGACTACTGAATGTTGTTTATGTGCCAGGCACTATGCTAGACACTTCAGAACCACCACCAAATGTCATTATCACAATCAATAGGTATCATTATCTTGCTTTAGAGAGGAGGACACTTAGCTTAGAGAGGTTAAGCAATGTGATCAGAGTTCATACAGGTGCTAAGTGGTAGACCCTCTGATTGAACCCAGGTGTGTTCGCTTCCAAAGCCCACATCTTGTACATGACACAGCGGAGAAAAAGCTCAACTTATTCCTTATGTTATTGTGGGTGGAATTTAAATGGTGCAATGTCCCCACTGAAGTTGCTCTGATGGGTTCACACTCTGTCCCAGTGGTCAAGCACCATCACGTCACTCCATCTAAGTCACACGTAATGTATCCAGCACCTCCCCTAGAACAGCCATGTTGCCTTGACTCCTATCCACACATTCACTTCATATTTCACTGATGGTCAACAGCAGTTTACACACTAGCCCTTAGAGTGATAAAGTCTGTGAAGAACATAAACCTATAGAAAATTTGTCCAAGTTCAAGCTGTATCTTCCTACTAGGCATATACTAGACGAGCATATAGGCTCTTGAGGCCGCACTGCCTGGGTTAGGTAGCTTTTCTGTGCCTCAGTTTCCTATCTGTGAAAGAGGTAGGAAGTTTTCAGGATTACCAGTATCAATTCATAAAAACTACTTAGAACGGTGCCCAGTGCTTAAATTATTAGCTATTAATTATTCATCATTCTTTTTTTTCCTTTCTCTGAAATGTGTTAATAATTTTCCGGTATTTTGATTGTCACTCTTTTACGAGAACACAATCTCTTTTTAAGTAGAAACGACTTCTCACCTCTTCTGTATGTCCTGTAGTGTTTAGCAAGGGGCCTGAGCACAGCAAGCATCCCTCACATCTGAGGAAGGAGGTTGTATTTGAGACATGTGCTTTGGAGTCAGAGTTGGGATCATCACCATTTCTACATATGAAGTTCCTAGTCAACACTAAAAGCTTAGCAAAGAAATAACAGGAAAGACTTAAAGGAGGCAACTTGACCTCCCTTGGCTCCCAGACATGGGGAGGGAAGTTAAGAAAATGAAGGCTTATCAAGTCTCAGTAAAAAATGCATAGTTTGCCCACAGTCCTTCAGCACCACCACTTCCATACCCTTTTCATCACAATACCGAAATTTTTCAAAATTGTGTGCTGTAAATTGTTCTAATGATGATGATGATGATGAGGATGATGATGATAATAATAATAAAAGTAGTTCTGGAGCCAAATAAACTTGCTGAACACTTCACATGCAATTATCGATGATTAGCAATGTGTATCAGCATAGTAAAGACTCCCAGTAAGTGGGCGCCTGGGTGGCTCAGTTGGTTAAGCGACTGCCTTCGGCTCAGGTCATGATCCTGGAGTCCCTTGATCGAATCCCGCATCAGGCTCCCTGCTCGGCAGGGAGTCTGCTTCTCCCTCTGACCCTCCCCCCTCTCATGTGCTCTCTCTCATTCTCTCTCTCTCAAATAAATA